GTACAACAGTCTCAATTTAGTCATCTTGGCTTCTAGGGAGAGTTCAGGCTTTATTCACAGTAGGATCCTTTTATTTATTTTTGTGTCAGCCCATGGCATCTGCGGAACTCTCCTCCAGCATATTTTTAGTGTTTCGATTTTCTTTCTATCTGCTTTTTTCACTCTCTGTCTTTCACAAACATACACAGAAATTAGAATTATGATGGTATGGAGAATCCTGACTTTGTTATTCAGTGATGTATCTTTATACTTGAGGATCTTGTCTAGTTCCTTCATAGCTGCCCTTCCAAGTCCTAGTCTTGTTCTGATTTCTTGATTGCAGTCTCCATTCTGATTAATGACTGTGCCAAGATACAGAAAATCTTGAACTATTTTAATGTCTTAATTGTCTGTTTTAAAGTTATATAAATCATCTGTAATCATTATTTTTTGTTTTCTTAATGTTTAGTTGTAACCCTGCCATGGCATTTTCTTCTTTGTGTTTAACAGCCATTCCAATTCTTTGTTATTTTCTGCTAGTAGTATGGTATCATCTGCATATCTTAAATTGTTGGTGTTTTTTTCCTCCAATTTTCACACCTCTTTCCTCTGTGTGTAATCCAGGTTTATGTATGATATGTTCAGTGTACAAGTTAAACAGATGTAGTGATAAAATGTAGCTTTGCTTGATCCCTTTGCCTGATGGAAACCATTCTGTTTCTCCATATTCTAGCTGACTATGGCCTTTTATCATGAGTTATAGGATATGCATCAGGACAATAAAAAGTTGTAACACATGCATTTTGCTGAGAGTGATTCATAGTCCATAATGTACCATTATATGTGAAACTAAATATAAGGTGTAGGACCACAGGCAGTGAGGAAAGACAACAATTAAGGCAAAAGCTGCCAGGATGTGACTCAGTGCAACTGTGCAGAGATAGAGCAGGAGGATAAGAGAGAGCCAGCATAATGTAGTGGTTAGAGCATTGGACTATTACTCTGGAGGCCAGGGTTCGTATCCTGGTTTTGCCACTGGGGTGACATTAGGAAAGTCAATTGTCTGTTGCAATGGCAAACCTTCTCTGAAAAAACTTACCAAGAAACTCCCATGATAAGTTAAAACATATAAATGAGACAATTTCCTTGTCAGCAGGAATAAGGAGTTTGGAGGGAAATTTCGTACATGAGGCTTTACTTTTCCAGGAGGGTCAAGAATCCAGGCTCTCACTATCCTACTCTTCCAGCATTCTTCTTGCAAGGCTTATGACACCCAAATATATTTCTCCATGTCTCGGCCAGCAGCCATGACAGCAGATGGCAATTCTCCCCTCAGTGATTGTCTTGAGGCAGTAATGGACTGGATGAAGAAAAACTGACTCAAGCTGAATCCAGACAAAATGGAGGTACTCACAGTACCCTAAATCAGGTATTGGGTTGTAATCTCCAATCCTGGATGGGGTCATACTCTCCTCTAAGAACTGTGTTCGCTGTCTGGGGGTGCTCCTAGACCCGTCACTTCACATGATAGATCAGGTGAATGCGACAGTCAGGAGCACCTGTTATGAGCTTTGGCTGATATGCCAGCTGCGCCCTTTCCTGGAAACAAGGGACCTAGAAATTGGAATACATGCACTGGTAACCTCGCAACTTGATTTCTGCAATGCATTCTACATGGGGATACCCTTATACCTAGTTTGGAAACTACAACTAGTACAAAATATGGCAGCCAGGTTTATCCCTGGTAAATCTAGGAGTGATCATATTACACCTATTTTGAAATCTCTTCACTGGCTGCCTATTGAGTTCCAAGCACAGTATAAGGTGATTACCTTTAAAGCCCTACATGGCCTGAGTCTAACATATTTAAGGGACTATTCAAGACCAGAGATCGCATTCATATCTACTTCTATCTACACACAGTCCAAGAACTTTGCACATGAGGCATGAGCCTTGCACTCATTCCCTTAAACGCATGGAACTTTAGGAACCCTCCATAGAAAAACAATAAAAACAAGTTTTGCCCCACCCAGATGTGTGCCCTTTACTTCTGGTGACAGCCCCCAAGTTAGGAAAGTTAGGATTAAATAAAGGAAAGGGGCAAAGCAGGAGAGATACCCTGATATAGAGATTCCTGGGTGGGAGAGACAGACAAACAGACATGTCAGTGAGATTTTGCCCCAGGATATGTAAAATGTCTCAGTTGCATGTAATGGGTTAAAGAGGAAATGCTGACTCAGAGGAAGCTGATGCAACTTAAGCATGGAGATGAGTAATAACAATTCCAAACTGCACTGTCACTGTGGATACACGACAGGACGCTGACAAAACACTAGAAATGTTCCAGTGTACCATGTGGTGGTGTGGATGTTAGTTGATTTCAGAGCATTGCACCGGAAAAAAAGGACACCATACTCTTCATTATGGTAATAAACATGGCCACAACTTTATTTATTTGTACAGGGTCGTAAACAACTTCATTAACAATTCAATTTTAACCACAATTTAATAGTTCTTGACACATGTGTCCCTGTACGTAGCAAAACTTACTGACAGGGTAAACCACTCCCTTTATAACATGTGTCAAGAACTTTACATTCCGAATAACACCCAGCCAAATAAACTAACTCCCCCCAACCAGAAATGACGTCATAATCTAGCTCATGATGTAACATGTCTATGACTTCATCAACTGGGCATAGCAAACATTTAGTTAACCAAATTGATGTATACTCTTTGTCCAATCAACGTAATGCAATTTAGTAATTCCAATTAACTGAATTATCCCCAAGGAGGGGGCCAGCCTAGCTTGGCATCCCCTCCCCCCCAGGAGAGCTCATTCAATGTGATGAGTGATAGACTCCAAGTATACATCACAACCCTCAGGCGAGAGATGAACCCCATCCTCCTTGTATAAATATGGCATACCAATCTGAATACCCTCGTGATCTACAACTCTAATCCCCAAACTCCCAAACTTCTTAACCATGGATCTATTCAGCCAACAATGGGCTACGTTGATCAAAGAGTCCTTCCTTTCTCCCACCCAAGCACGTCACAGTAAAAACTTAGTCCACATCAACACCGTGTGTGGGAATCTCCTCTTAATGTCTTGCATGTTGTTTAAGATCCTCTTGGCCAACTTGAAGCAAGGAACTTGAACTAAGTCATTTTCCCCCAAGTGAACAATCAAGATCTTAGGCGGTGTGAAAGTCACAGATAGCTCAATGATACGTGGAATGAGAGCTCCCTATAGCATTCCTCTCCAACCGAACCACCATACTTGACGGACCTCTTTCATCCCCAGGTTCCAATCATGACACGATTGGAGAATGAGTCATTCAGCCCAAAACACAAGGCTGTGCCCGATGATCCATACATCTTCTAACTCCTCATCTGTCTGAATGGAAAAAAACAAATTAAGTATAACTGTGCAACCCCTAAACTAAATATTGTCAGACTGAACCATGACTCTATGGGTGAATGTAGGATTGGACGTCAGATAAAAAAAAGTGCTCTGCCTGAACAATCCGAACAGGAGCTAGGGAAAAGTTCGCTAGTTCTAGTGACTGCAAAAAATGCCACAGAAAAAGCTGCCCTAAAGAGGATCACTTCCTGAGATGAAGAACATATATTTGGAAGGGATTGCCAAATTTGGATGAGACTCAATCCTGTTACTGGTAAGCGATTATTGTGAGCTGAAGGAAGCTCCCTAGCCCACCCTTCCAATGCCCTATGGACTCTAAAGTCTACAGTAGGGTCATTAAACCCACCCGCTCTTGAATAAAAAGACAGTGCCGCTAACCTTGCCCTAATAGTGACCGGGGATAAACCCGGCTGCCTAAAGCATAACTCAGTCTCCACCCCCAGGGGCCAAACCTCCACCTCCCTTGCCATCGACAGAAACAGCCTAAAAGCTCGGATTGTGAGCTGATACGACTTGCGTGTCGATGGAACAACAGACTGGAGAATCTCCCTGTCAGTTTCTATTCTCCAAGGTTCCAAAGATGTTCCAGTACCTCCAGTGGTTGAGGTGCTGCCTCCGGGGTGAGTTGCCGAAACCTGGAAAACTAAAAATGAGAAAAGGCGTCCACCAATAGATTTAGTAAACCCGGTACATGGCGAGCCTGAAACAACACATTGAATTTCAAACATTGCATCACTATTTATCTAACTAATGCCATCACCCTCAAGGATTTGGAGGTTTAGGAGTTCACCACATGAACCACTGCTTAGTTGTCACACCAAAACCAAACAGTTTTATTTTCAAATTGAACTGGCCACAAATGAACTGCAACCACAATAGGGAAGAGTTCAAGGAAAGTGAGATCATGTGTCCAACCCCTCTCCACCCAAGCTTGTTGCCATCTCTCCACTGCCCACTGACCTTTCCAATAAAGGCCAAAACCATGTGCGCCAGAGGCATCAGAGCGTACTTGGAGGTCCACCTTTAAAAGCATTTCGGACCTCCAAAAAGAAACTCCATTAAATTGGTCCAAAAATGACTCCCAAATCTTCAAATCGGCTCTTATCCCACTTGTAATCCTAATATGGTGATGCAGAGTGGAAACCCCTTTAGTATCATTGTACAAGTGAGTACAAAAGGCTTGTCCAGGAACAATAACTTTACAGGCAAAATTTAACAACCCTGTCAGTGATTGAAATTCTCGAAGTGTGGCTTTGTTCCTACTGCACATTAGCCTTACCTGGTGTCTCATTGCTTCAAGTTTTTCTACTGGGAGGCAGGAAAGTCCCTCAACTGTATCTAATTCAATGCCTAAAAAGGTCAGATGGGTGCCAGGACCCTCCATCTTTTCCTCTGCCAAAGGAACTCCCATCTCAGCCATCAACACCTGAAATGCCGATAAGGTATCCACGCACCTTGAAGAACCGGGAGCTTCCGCAAACAAGAAGTCGTCGAAATAATGAGTAATAGAGGGATTACCTGACCTCTTGATGGAGCACCAGTGCAAAAATATCCTAAATTTCTCAAATACAGAGCATGAGATAGAACACTCCATTGGCATGGCCTTGTCAAAATAGTACATCCCTTCAAATTGAAAGTGTAATAAGTCAAAATCCTCAGGGTGTATAGGCAAAAACCTAAAAGCAGATTTTATATCACACTTGGCCAATAGGGTGCCACTACCCAATGCCCTTACCATCCACATTGCTGCATCGAATGATGTGTATTTTACTGATGCCAATGCTGGATCAATGGCATCATTAACAGATTCCCCTTTCAGGTAAGACAGATTGTGAATTAGATGGAACTCATCAGGTGCCTTCTTGGGTATAACGTCCAAAGGTGACAGTCTTAGTGTCGGCATTGGCAGATGTTGATGGGGCCCAGTTATCCTACCAGCAGCCAACTCTTTAGCTAGCTTCTCCCTGACTAACTCCAGTGACTCCCACACCGAACGTGCATTAGGCACAAATTGGTGAACCCTCAAACCAGTATAAGGAATATGGAAACCATTTGAAAACCCATTTAACAAATACTGAGCAGAATACCTATTCGGGTATATTCACAACCAATCAGCCAAGACATCCAATTTAATTGGTGTTGGTGCTTTTCCCTCCCGCTGAGGAAGGTTGTGAGGAGCCTCCAGCCCTGGCTCTCCTTCCCCTAAAACAGGAAATGCCTGGGTGATTACCTCTGTAGGTTTTACATTTATGCTCAAACCTACAGGGCTGCCTAGAGCACTTGCCAGAGTTGAAGTCCCAACATACACCTGTAACCCTTTTCTCTCCCATGCTAGGCCTTGCATCCTGCCCTTTTGGCTGCGTGACCATGGGCACAAAGGCCCCTAACATAACATCTGCCCACAGCTCAGATTGAACATGCTGCCAAGACAAAGAAGGAGCCTGAGCAGCTCTCATCCTGAACTGTTCATCATACTGGAGCCATGCAGAACCCCTCAAATTGAAATGACAATTTGTGTATGCTTTGATCATGATATCTTGGTACTTTGAAAAATCAGGAAATCTAGACGGGTCTCTTTGTTCAATCACACCTCTATATATGGTAAATC